CTCTCGATCCCAAAACAATGGTTTTATGGAGACTTGTGGGCTGAGTGCTGATTACATTGACCACTATGCGCTTTCGGTAGCCTGATTGTTGTCCAGACTGAGGAGAAATCTGCACACAACCACCTCTTGAAGTGGTCAGCCAGATCTGCAACCTTTGTGCATCTAGACCAGTCTCTTCAATGTAATCTTCCAACCTGGTCTCAGAGCATTTTGTATGATTCTGTACGTAAATCCAAGCCACCACATTTAATATTATATGTATGGTATGTATTAATTTGTGGATGTCCATCATCCAGTTTGTATGATATGTTACGAATGATGATTTCATCCGAATTTGCAAAATGTGCAAAATGTACAAAATGTTCTAAATTTGCAGAAACTTATAATATTTTACAAATGTTAATTTGTTGTGGCTAGCGTTAGCTAGGTGGCTAACGCTAACATTAGCTAGCTGGCTAACACTAGCTAGGCTAGGGGTTAAGGTTAGGAGTTAGGTTAAAGGGTTAATGTTAGGGGAAGGGTTAGCTAACATGCTAAGGTGTTGCAAAGTAGCTAAAATGTAGTAAGTAGTTGAAAAGTTGTTAATGAGCTAAAATGCTAAAGTTGTCCGTGTTGAGATTCAAACACGCATCCTTTGGGTTGCTAGATGTTCGCAAAGTAGCTACAAATTAGTAAGTAGTTGAACAATTTATAAAATGCTCAAGTTGTTGATGATGAGATTCAAACATGCAAGCTTTGGGTTGGTAGACGTTTGCGTTATATGTAACATACAGTATCATACTACACTGAACAAAAATATAAACGCAACAATTTCAAAGATTTTACTGAGTTACAGTTCATATAAGGAAATCAGTCAATTGAAATAAATTAATTAGGCCCTAACCTATGGGTTTCACATAAATGGGCAGGTGCACAGCCATGGGTGGGCCTGGGACGGTATAGGCCTACCCACTTGGGAGCCAGGCCCACCCACTAGGGAGCCAGGCCCAATCAGAATGAGTTTTTCCCCACAAAAGGGCTTTATTACAGACATAAATACTCCTCTGCACCCCACCCTCCCCCTCAGACGATCCCGCAGGTGAAGAAGCCGGATGTGGAGGTCCTGGGCTGGCGTAGTTACATGTGGTCTGCGGTTGTGAGGCCGGTTGGACGTACTACCAAATTCTCTAAAATGATGTTGGAGGCAGTTTATGGTGGAGTAATGAACATTCAATCCCCTGGCAACAGCTCTGGTGGACATTCCTGCAGTCAGCATGCTAACTGCACGCTCCCTCAACTTGAGACATCTGTGGCATTGTGTTGTGTGACAAAACTGCACATTTTAGAGTGGCCTTTTATTGTCCCCAGCACAAGGTGCACCTGTGTAATGATCATGCTGTTTAATCACCTTCTTGATATGCCACACCTGTCAGCTGGATGGATTATCTTGGCAAAGGAGAATGTAAAGACATTTGTGCACAGAATTTGAGAGAAATAAGCTTTTTGTGCGTATGGAACATTTCTGGGATCTTTTACTTCAGCTCATGAAACATGGGACCAACACTTTAGATGTTGCTTTTATGTTTTTGTTCAGTATAATTTGAGCAGTGGCAACCCGTCATTCAGGGCAGGTGGCGCAGAGCCCCACCTCCTTTGAGCCCCATCTGTTTGGGGCGGGGGGGGGTTGCCTGATATGCATGTTATTTTGGCATTCATTCATGTCACGTATCAGTTTGCAAACAATGTAAAAAATAATAATTTTTAGTTAATAAAGCAGCATACAAACATGGTCTCTTTCTTGAGTAAGGCAGCTCTAAAATGCAGGTGTTTCAGCCTAGCTCAATGCTTTCTGTTGTGGAGGGGCAGCCAGCGGAATATACAGAGCATAGCCGTTGCTAATCTTCTTTAGTTGCGCCGTGATTGGCTAGGTGTTCTGTCATTCATGGGGACACTACGTCACTGCAGAATCTACAGGGATAGCTGCCATAGATTTATATTAGAAGTGCCCAATCGAAGAAGGCTCAAGGTCATTTGCCACAGATAAAATTATGTCAAATCACGTTATATCTACCATAGCTTTGATTGGACTGATCATCTTACTTTCAAAATCTTAGCTAGCAAGCTACACAAGCAGTCATCATCAAGAATCACGTCGACAATCTACCGGCAAATCCTTTTCAATCCATAAATTATAGATAAAAGGTATCGGTGCTCATAAACATTATACAACAAGTTGGAAATCGCAAATTCAACAATGAGTGGTTTGGAAGGAATCAGTGGCTAACTGCAAGCGTTGCAAAGCAATAACTATTTTGCTTTGCCTGCCTGCAATTCGGTGGAGAGGGTGTGTGGTCCAAGTCTGGGTTTAAGGATTTAAAACATCTGTCTGAAATGGTCTCTTTTCCAAGCTTCAAAATTCAAAAGGCACTCGCACATCTGAGCTACCTTTGTTGCAGGTGCATGGTAACAGTACGATGAGAAAAAAGAAGAAACCTGCACACTGCTCTTGCTAATATCACTACTCTTTATTAAGCTTTATTTCAGTTTTTTTTTAAATTAAGTGATATTTCAGTTGTTGTTTTTTTAAACCTGTTTTTGCTTTGTCATTATGGAGTATTGTGTGTAGATTCATGAGGGGGAAAAAACCCAAATTGAATCAATTTTAGAATAAGGCTGTAACGTAACAAAATGTGGAAAAAGTCAAGGGGTCTGAATACTTTCCGAATGCACTGTAAACATTCACTCGCAACACCATCGGCCAGAAAAGTTTGAATAGATTGGCCATGCTGTAAATCCAGCATGGCTTCTGCCGCCTTCAAAACAACTGGAAACTCGGAACTGGGAAATCTCAGACTTCAGTTCAAGACAACTGGGAACTCTGAAAAAAACGGAATTCCAAACAGGGAACTCGGGCCTCTTTCTAGAGCTCCGACCTGAAGATCACTGACGTCATGATTCGACCTTGTTTTTTTAGAGTTCCCAGTTTTCTTGAAAGCACCTTGATGCCAAGATTTGCCGACAAAAAGGACTGCTGCGCCACCTTCCTGTTCAAGTGAGCACAGCACAACAACGGTGAGCCAAAAATTTTTTTGTTTGCTGCTGCATAAATTAGCTCATGTGCTTTTCTTGACGAGGAGGGGATACTGTATAATGTTGTTGAGTCTGTAACCATGTTTGCCAGTGACAGTCTCTTCCCATTGAAATATTTGTTTTCAACAAAAAGTTCAGTAATAGACCCATGTAATATCCAGTTGATATTGCGAGGGTTGTTTTTTGTTTTGTTGTCACCATTATAGTGCAATTAATGTATTGTTTATTGTTGTGTTGTGTAGTGGCTTTGCTGGCATGCATCTAAAAAAAATAGTTGAGTTTGCCCCACCAAGATTGACATGCTAAAATCGCCACTGAATTTGAGTATCCCGGATTTACGTTTACTATGTTATGTCTAGTCTATGAGAGCAGGCTGAATCTTCATATTCTGATAGCAGAAGTTGCATGTAAGTGTCAAGTGTGGACAGCCTGAGTAGGCAGTAGTTATACAATGTATCAAGCTACCAGTGTTTGATCATTGTGTGTGTTGGCCCCTTTAAGAACTAACCAATAGCGTGAACATCCATCTGACTCAGAATATGTAGTGGGGCGTTTCGGACGTCCCCAGTGGCTGCATTACAGGTGGAGATGGGGGATATGCCATTGCAGATTAGGAGACAGCAGCTGGCAGTTAATTATTGGGTCAACCTATAAGGACATGGGGTGTCTCATCCTGCGAAAGGGATTTTACAGGCATGCTGGGAACATGAGCGAAGACAGAACACAAGCTTTGGGTGGGTGGGTAATACCCAGGCGAAGGATAGTTGATAGTTATTAGTCCAATGATAGTTATTTCTGTAAATCCACCATGGCTACTCCCGCCTCCAGTAGTTGATCTAGAAGTGTTGGAGAGACTACAGAAAGATAGGGAGGGTGTTGATCCATCTGATTTGTTTAAGAGACATCTGGATACTGTGTATCAGGATTTTGTGGCCATTTACACAGATAGTTCAAAAGAGCCAAGGACAGGATGTACTGGGTCAGCATTTGTAGTGTAGGAATGTGGGGTGGAAGTCAGGAAACGTATTACAGATAATCTGGCTGTATATATGGCGGAGCTGATGGCCATACTGTTGGCCTTGCAGTGGGTGGAGGAAGTCAAACAAGACAGAGTAGTTATTTGCTCTGATTCATGTGCAGTGTTAATGAGTCTCCAGTCCTTTAGCTCACGTAGCAGACAAGACCTGCTTTATGAGGTGCTACAAACCCATGGCAGGATTAAACAGATGGGTATACAAATAAGATTTACTTGGGTCCCAGCCCATGTGGGGGTGGAGGGGAACGAGGCAGTAGATGAACAGGCTAAACAAGCACTTAGTAGAGGGGATGTTGATGTTGAAGTTTCAATGAGCAAGGCAGAGGCAAAAAGACTGATATATATATATATATATATATATATAGTGATGGTGCAAAGATGGCAGGTGCATTGGAATAGAGATAATAAGGGAAGGCATTTATTTCAAGTACAGAGGAAAGTTGGGGAGGGGAGGACGGCAGGAAGGGACAGAAGAGAGGAGGCTATTTTTACAAGATTAAGGGTGGGACACAGCCAGTTGAATAAGACATTAATGTGATAGGAAAGCATCCAACAGGAAAGTGTGATTATTGTCAGGAAACAGAGACCGTGGAGCATGTATTGCTACAGTGTGGGCAGTATCAGAGGGAAAGAGAGCGGATGAGATCTAGTATGAGGGAGAAGGGGATACAGGAAATTAGTTTAAAGAGTATATTGAGTAGAACGTCATTAGATATAGTCTCAAATATTTTGTTATATTTTTTAAGAGCAACGGGGCTGGCAGGTAGGATTTAGTTTCTCCCTGTCTCTGGCCCACACTCCAGTACAGTAGGTGGCGGTAATGCACCATAACGTTGGATGCCAACAGCTGATAAACCCCACTGAAGAAGAAGAACATCCGCCTAGAATCGTTTAGGCGCTAAACTGGACCGTGCATGGACTCTTCTTATTGTGAAAATTGCATTTTCATTACTTAGCTAGCTAATATCTAGAGAAAGATATTGATTACTGTAGTCAGACCACAAAGGTCCCTTTTACCATCACTACGGTCTGGTATGTATAGTTGCCAACTTTGTGTGATTGAATGATTGTGTAAACGAACGAACACACACAGGCTACAGTATTTTCTGCTAGCTTAGCTAGTAGCTAGCTACCTAATTTAGCAGCCACAGCATCGGCAAACTAGGAAATTGCTTGTTTTTTAATGGTCATTTCTTTTTTCTGATATAATCACTTATAAATCATGTTATAATGTGTGTGTATCATATCTGTTTAATCTTCCATAACAGTGGAGTGAAATGCGTTGTCAACACTTGCTTCATTTAGCTAAAGTTCCCTAGCAGCCACACTGTCCAAGTCAAGTCATGCCTGTCCTGCTTGTTCAACCCTGCGGGCTTGTATCTTCCCGCCAGGAGTCGTTTACTGAACACTGAATGTGTGTTGCATGCAGTTACAAGTACAACTGCTATTCTGTGATCATCCTACTTTCAGAAGTTAAATGCTGTCTCTGCAGTTAGTTTTTTTACTAATGTATTTTTTTGACAGCATTGCAAGGTGAGTTGTCTGATGAATCCGGCAGTAATGAATTGATCAGTCAGACTAGCGGAGTTGTAGAAATGTCCAGCTGGGAAGTGTGGTTAAGGTTTAAAATCTTATTTTAAGAAGATAAATTGTAAATAAAATATATAACACTGCAATGTACTTCAATACATTGCAGTGTTATAATAATATTATTAAGTGTCTGAGATGATCATCCTTTTAGACTCAGCAGGGGTTTATCACTATCCAGGGGCCTGCCAATCTTTAGAGATTTATACAGCCAAGTTCCAAAAGTAAATATGTTGTTTGCAAAACAGACGGACACATTGTCAGCTGGTTGGCAAAATATATGCATTGGAGCCCTTATGACTTGAATGAATGCTATCAAAAGGATAACAGCAAATCATTTAGGCTGCCTAGTCATTGCTTCAAATGCTAGGTCCCATCATGGTGTGTACATCAAAGCCTTGCTATAAATAGTTAGGCTGTTACATAGCCAGTCTTCTCCATTTTAAAGTGAATGACTTCATTTGATTGCAGTGCAGAATAGTCTTGGGCTTTTTTGGGCCAGAAAATAAGCAACTATTTTTTTCTTCTGGTGTTTCCAAACCGTTAATGCACCAATAAGTTGCCTTTTGTGACCTAGTTGAGTGGTCTGTTACGCCCTTGCTCAATGGCAGTCAGGTCTCCCTTATGTAACCTGTCACAGCTTGGTTCTGTTTTGTAAATGCCACAATCACACAGCACTTGTTTCTGTATTAGTTAGGCCAGTCATAGTTATATGACCAGGGTCTCATTCAATTTTTGTCGATCATGTAAAGCTTCACTTACCACTTCTCAGTACAGTTTATCCAGCTGTCAATGTGAGGGGCCTGTATGACAAAGGTCAGTGGTTTTGGTTACCTACTTGCTTTTATGATTGTCTGTTTAAGGTAGTGCCCCGTCCATCCACCCATCTGGAGACACACTACAGTGACACTACCCAAATGGCACCCTATTCCCTGATCAGGGGTCAAAAGTAGTGCACTAAGTAAGGAATAGGATGCCATTTGGGACAGACCGTGTCCCCCTGTGCTATATTTCAGACCAGATGGTGTCAGCTTGGCTTCTATGACTGTCTGGAAGGATTAGATAATAATGTGAGTTCTCTGGACCCTCTCTAATTTTCGCAAGACAAGAACTACTCTAAAATCATAGTAGAATAGATTCAACTTCTCAAAGGCATTTTTTTTTGTCTTGGTTGTGATGTCATGTGTAGCCTATTTGATCAAATGTTGTATGGTTGTAGTGAAACATCTGGTTTATGTATCATAAATTTGATATACTTGAGTTTTGACCTATGAATCCAGTTGTTTGTGTAAGAAAAAGGACCATGCCTATCTACGGTGTTTCCCCTATTCATTTAGTAGCGGCTGCCCACTGCTGCTAAATAGTTGTCTATGACGGGAAGTCTATGGGAACAGCTATCCTTGCCACCACTGCTGAAAAAGATCCTATGGGAAACCGTCTACGAACATCGTGGATATTGGTTTCTCATCATCCCTATTTGTATTTAACCTGATGACAAGAATCATATAGGAACTGTTTGTTTGGTTTATCGTATAATAACTTTAAAACAATAAACATGGAATAATTACGTGGGACTTGCGAAGCAAAAGTCCAGACTTTAAATCTTCGTCATACTTCTTATTTTTCTTGTGCTAACTACTCCTTACACCGTTTAAGCTAGAAATGCCATTCAAACTTTAAAATGTGCAGACTGGTTTGGAATAGTGTGCTTGCATACAACTTTTTGATATTATTTATACTTTTTAAACAATTTTTCATTCACTTTAATGTGACTTCTTTAAACATTTGAAAGCTCCCCATTTTGGCATCATCACTTCCAACTTCCATTCACTGTAAATGCAACTTTTGACACAAATCAGCTACTTTGACCACTTTGCCAAACACTTACACAAAAAGTTAGAGGGTATGAAAAAGTTAGAGGGTATGACATCTTGGTCTACTTCTCTGCTATTCAAATCTGGAATCGGAACAGAAATACCTTGTACAGATCTAACGATACAGCTGTTTTAGTAACCGCATCAACAACTTTACGTCTTAATTATTTCAAACAACTGCAGTTTTGACCACTTTCCCAGCACTTTAGACAAAAACGTAAAGGGTATGACATCTTGGTGTACTTATGTGCCATTCAAATCTGGAAATAAGAACAGAAATGTCTACTACCAATCAAGAGGTACAGCTGTTTTAGTAACCACATCAACTAATTTAGCTAACTTCCCACTGTTGAATTAACGGCCATGGAACTTTTCAGAACTTTCAAATTATAATGGAGCACATTCTAAGCATGAGACAGAGTAAACATTGTGACTTTTGACACTAATTGATACCTTGACCACTTTTCTCAACAACGTGTTGTAGACAAAAGGGGTATGGCACCTTTGTCTACTTCTCTGATATTCAAATCTGAAATCAGAACAGCAATAACTACTACCAATTCCCCCACACACACTCACACACCATCCACACCAATCTGTCCAACTGAACCTTGTTTTATCCCTTTAGCCCTCCAACCATTAGGTCTTCCATCCCTGTATCCTTACTTTATTTATCTATCCATTTATCTGTGCTATTTATCGATCCAGTCATAACTTTCTTTTAACAGCTTTATCCTTTTGATTAATAAATTAATGTGTGGTTGATGTAAGGGATAAATGTTTGGGATAAAATCGTTTTTAAATGTATTTTAAACTTCAACAGTGCCTCGCCTCGTCTTCTGTATTCTTATTACAGTTTGCATAGACTGTGGTATTCTAGTAGGAGTGTATACAAGTGTAGTAGGCTAGTCTGAGTGTAGTTATTTGTGATCTAACTGCCCCACAATCCAAAGTAATAAGGTTGATAGACTACACTATCAAAGTAATCAGACATATTATTTGACTAAATTTAACTTTGACTATATTGAACTTCTTGGCTTAAGTAAAACATTTTAAACTTCTTCCACTACCACAAAAATAAATAAAGTTCAAGCAAGTCCCACCAATGTTTCTTCATGGAAAGTTACCATCTAGTTCCTGGCACCTACTACCATACCCTGTTCAAAGGCACTTACATTTTGTCTTGCCCATTCACACTCTGAATGGCACACTTACACAATCCATGTCTCAATTGTCTCAAGGCTTAATAATCCTTCTTTAACCTGTCTCCTCCCCTTCATCTACACTGATTTTGAAGTGGATTTAACAAGTGACATCAATAAGGGATCTAAGCTTTCACCTGGTTTAACATGTTCAGTCTATGCCATGGAAAAAGCAGGTGTTCTTAATGTTTTGTATACACAGTGTATGAATGGACAAAGTTACCGATCACGTGACACCATTCATTCCTATGTAAAGACTCAATAGAGCATTGAAGCCAAATGAAGTACGTTAAGATGGCGTCTCATGGAGACATAACATGCGCAGTAAGTGACGTTGCAGGCTAGCTCAGTGCTGCTCCCTCTCATTGAGTAACTGAAGTTGAAGGCTGACCGAGCTACTGCTGACTGCCAGTAGCTACTAAATTAATTATCCTTAACTTCTTCTGTGTGCGATTTTAAAATAATAGGTTCAAGGACACACATCTGGTGTAAGAAGTAATTATTGGTACCATGATTGTCTTCGATTTGTATTTTTATTTACACGAAGATTGATCACAAATATTGCAATTATTTTGTTCACTATAATGGGGGATCCTGTTTAAACTTTAATGAGAGGGGTCAGTCGTTCTCCCCTGGGTTGCCCCTAGTCTCACTGTACGTTGTTAGTGCTTAGAGGAATAGAGGTTCTCACTGGCAGTCTCAGATAAGAGACTGTCAATTGGGTTCATGTTGGTTTACTATAGCCTGTAGCAGTACTAGGTGTGTGAACAAGCCAAGAGGAGCTGATGGGAATCTCATTTCAAGTGGAGTAGTCCTTTGTATGCCCGTGTAGCGGTAAAAGGGTGGAACTGTGAGAACTTGTGGCCCTGTTCATGGTTCATAGCTTTTTCAGTTACATTTCCATTTTCAGTTAGCCTACATAACCAGGTTAGCCAGAGGCTGAAATAAAATCTCTCTGTAAATTGGCCATAGCCCCTCTCTCACCATTCAGAGGAGAGCACGGATATATGAGCGGCTCTGTGTACAAAACAAAAGGCTGCTTCTCATCCACACCGTTTCCTAATGATGTTACTGTTCTGTTTACCTGAACTCAGTGACCTACTGGCCAGGTTAGGTGAGGTCAGATGGTTAATGTCACTAGGTCCTGTAGTCTGGGCTAATCCTGGACCAGATAACTTTGCTGGAATTGTCCTTAAGTGTGATTTGAGCGTAGGCCTTTCAACTCAACTGTCCGCTTGGGTCTTGTCATAGTAAAGGTGTGTGTTTTTGTGCGTGCAGGTATGTGTTTGAGGGAGAGATTGAGACATACAGCCAAGCAGCATGCCCGCTGTGCTGCAAAGATGTCCTCTTGGTATTTAATTAGTCTCTCACACTGAAAAAATTGCAGATTGCAATTCCAGACTTGTTGTTGCTCAATTATTGGTTAATGATATACCAAGAAAAGCACTAGAACTTATCTTGATTATTCCTTGCGGCTGTGACTTTCTAATACCATTTGAACTGAATTGTTGTTGCTAGTGCATACACTGGAAAAGGCCATATAACAATGTCTCAGACTGTGTCGGTCTCCTACAGGTTTGAACGGCCTATGAACTGACGTCTAAAGACCTCAGCTCTGCTGTTGGAATCCAGGTGATTATTAGCCTATAGGCGTATTATTCAGTATAGTTTTTTTTTTTTAGTATACTATATTCACTATAGTTTTTTTTGTTTAGTGTTGTGTACACTTTGTCTTCCCAGAACTATATATTATAAGACTTCTTCCTTCCCCACATCATTATAAATCTCTCTCTCATTTTCCTGTTTGCTGTCTGTCAGATTGAGCACCACCTCTTCCCCCCTGCCAGGCTGGTGATGTATGGACTTGTACATGATGAACTGTGAGCTTTTAGCAACGTGCAGTGCCCTCGGGTACCTGGAGGGAGACATCTACCACAGAGAACCTGACTGTCTAGGTGAGCTGCTTCACACACTGGCTAACAACACTTGCTGGGCTATAAACAAAGTGCTGAAGGTAGTACTGTGTACTTGGACCCAGTCTTGATGTGAACTACTGTGTTTAGGGAGGATTTACAGTATATTTACTGTCAAAGCAACTTAAGTTACTTGTATTAATCTGAGCTAGGCCTAACTGCACTAAATAAGTAATTTAATTAATGTATAGGGCTTTTATACGCACTGCATGTGTAACCTCTGACCCTGTGTGTATGTGTCCCCTGTAGAGAGTGTGAAGGACCTGATCCGGTACCTGCGGCATGAGGATGACACGCGGGACACCCGTCAGCAGCTGGGGGCGGGCCAGATCCTCCAGAACGACCTGCTGCCCATAATCACCCAGCACAGCCAGGACAAGGCCCTGTTTGATGCCTGCATCAGGTACACTAAGTTAAATAGCTAGAACATGTGTAATGTAGTTCATCCTCTAAACAGGTTGTTAGAAGCCTGGATGGATGTTGGATATTGGATCTTGTGGGGTTGTGTTTTGGTTGGAGTGTGGTTCTTATGCTGTCTCTGTTCCCCCACAGGCTTATGGTCAACCTTACCCAACCTGCACTGCTCTGCTTCGGGAAAGTTCCAGATGACCCCACTGTCAGACATCACTTCCTGGAAGTGGTGTCCTGTTTACAGGCCTATAAGGAGGTAGGTGTGGTGTCACTATGGCTGTGTCCCAAATGGCACCCTATAAGGGCTGGGCGATATGGCCTAAAAATCATATCTCCATTTTTTTCAAACTTATGGACGATATATACAGTACCAGTCAAAAGTTTGGACACACCTACTCATTCAAGGGTTTTTCATTATGTTTACTATTTTCTACATTGTAGAATAATAGTGGACATCAAAACTATGAAATAACATATGGAATCAAGTAATAACCAAAAAAGCAGCAAACAAGTGCTCAGCATATGTGGGAACTCCTTCAAGATTGTTGGAAAAGTATTCCTCATGAAGCTGGTTGAGAGAATGCCAAGAGTGTGCAAAGCTGTCATCAAGGCAAAGGGTGGCTACTTTGAAGAATCTCAAATATAAAATAAATGTAGATTTGTTTAACACTTTTTTGCTTACTACATGATTCCAAATGTGTTATTTCATAGGTTTGATGTCTACACTATTATTCTTTAATGTAGAAAATAGTAAAAATAAAGGAAAACCCTGGAATGAGTAGGTGTCAACTTTTGACTGGTAGTGTGTGTGTGTGTATACAGTGGGGAGAACAAGTATTTGATACACTGCCGATTTTGCAGGTTTTCCTACTTACAAAGCATGTAGAGGTCTGTAATTTGTATCATAGGTACACTTCAACTGTGAGAGACGGAATCTAAAACAAAAATCCAGAAAATCACATTGTATGATTTTTAAGTAATTAATTTGCATTTTATTGCATGACATAAGTATTTGATACATCAGAAAAGCAGAACTTAATATTTGGTACAGAAACCTTTGTTTGCAATTACAGAGATCATACGTTTCCTGTAGGTCTTGACCAGGTTTGCACACACTGCAGCAGGGATTTTGGCCCACTCCTCCATACAGACCTTCTCCAGATCCTTCAGGTTTCGGGGCTGTCGCTGGGCAATACGGACTTTCAGCTCCCTCCAAAGATTATCTATTGGGTTCAGGTCTGGAGACTGGCTAGGCCACTCCAGGACCTTGAGATGCTTCTTACGGAGCCACTCCTTAGTTGCCCTGGCTGTGTGTTTCGGGTCGTTGTCATGCTGGAAGACGTTGTTGGCCAAGATCTCGCGATACATGGCCCCATCCATCCTCCCCTCGATACGGTGCAGTCGTCCTGTCCCCTTTGCAGAAAAGCATCCCCAAAGAATGATGTTTCCACCTCCATGCTTCACGGTTGGGATGGTGTTCTTGGGGTTGTACTCATCCTTCTTCTTCCTCCAAACACGGCGAGTGGAGTTTAGACCAAAAAGCTATATTTTTGTCTCATCAGACCACATGACCTTCTCCCATTCCTCCTCTGGATCATCCAGATGGTCATTGGCAAACTTCAAACGGGCCTGGACATGCGCTGGCTTGAGCAGGGGGACCTTGCGTGCGCTGCAGGATTTTAATCCATAACGGCGTAGTGTGTTACTAATAGTTTTCTTTGAGACTGTGGTCCCAGCTCTCTTCAGGTCATTGACCAGGTCCTGCCGTGTAGTTCTGGGCTGATCCTTCACCTTCCTCATGATCATTGATGCCCCACGAGGTGAGATCTTGCATGGAGCCCCAGACCGAGGGTGATTGACCGTCATCTTGAACTTCTTCCATTTTCTAATAATTGCGCCAACAGTTGTTGCCTTCTCACCAAGCTGCTTGCCTATTGTCCTGTAGCCCATCCCAGCCTTATGCAGGTCTACAATTTTATCCCTGATGTCCTTACACAGCTCTCTGGTCTTGGCCATTGTGGAGAGGTTGGAGTCTGTTTGATTGAGTGTGTGGACAGGTGTCTTTTATACAGGTAACAAGTTCAAACAGGTGCAGTTAATACAATATTAATACAATAAATAAAATGCAAATTAATTACTTAAAAATCATACAATGTGATTTTCTGGATTTTTGTTTTAGATTCCGTCTCTCACAGTTGAAGTGTACCTATGATAAAAATTACAGACCTCTACATGCTTTGTAAGTAGGAAAACCTGCAAAATCGGCAGTGTATCAAATACTTGTTCTCCCCACTGTATGTGTATATACAGTGGGGAAAAAAAGTATTTAGTCAGCCACCAATTGTGCAAGTTCTCCCACTTAAAAATATGAGAGAGGCCTGTAATTTTCATCATAGGTACACGTCAACTATGACAGACAAATTGAGCATTTTTTTTCCAGAAAATCACATTGTAGGATTTTTAATGAATTTATTTGCAAATTATGGTGGAAAATAAGTATTTGGTCACCTACAAACAAGCAAGATTTCTGGCTCTCACAGACCTGTAACTTCTTCTTTAAGAGGCTCCTCTGTCCTCCACTCGTTACCTGTATTAATGGCACCTGTTTGAACTTGTTATCAGTATAAAAGACACCTGTCCACAACCTCAAACAGTTACACTCCAAACTCCACTATGGCCAAGACCAAAGAGCTGTCAAAGGACACCAGAAACAAAATTGTAGACCTGAACCAGGCTGGGAAGACTGAATCTGCAATAGGTAAGCAGCTTGGTTTGAAGAAATCAACTGTGGGAGCAATTATTAGGAAATGGAAGACATACAAGACCACTGATAATCTCCCTCGATCTGGGGCTCCACGCAAGATCTCACCCCGTGGGGTCAAAATGATCACAAGAACGGTGAGCAAAAATCCCAGAACCACACGGGGGGACCTAGTGAATGACCTGCAGAGAGCTGGGACCAAAGTAACAAAGCCTACCATCAGTAACACACTACGCCGCCAGGGACTCAAATCCTGCAGTGCAAGACGTGTCCCCCTGCTTAAGCCAGTACATGTCCAGGCCCGTCTGAAGTTTGCTAGAGGGCATTTGGATGATCCAGAAGAGGATTGGGAGAATGTCATATGGTCAGATGAAACCAAAATAGAACTTTTTGGTAAAAACTCAACTCGTCGTGTTTGGAGGACAAAGAATGCTGAGTTGCATCCAAAGAACACCATACCTACTGTGAAGCATGGGGGTGGAAACATCATGCCTTGGGGCTGTTTTTCTGCAAAGGGACCAGGACGACTGATCCGTGTAAAGGAAAGAATGAATGGTGCCATGTATCGTGAGATTTTGAGTGAAAACCTCCTTCCATCAGCAAGGGCATTGAAGATGAAACGTGGCTGGGTCTTTCAGCATGACAATGATCCCAAACACACCGCCCGGGCAATGAAGGAGTGGCTTCGTAAGAAACATTTCAAGGTCCTGGAGTGGCCTAGCCAGTCTCCAGATCTCAACCCCATAGAAAATCTTTGGAGGGAGTTGAAAGTCCGTGTTGCCCAGAGACAGCCCCAAAACATCACTGCTCTAGAGGAGATCTGCATGGAGGAATGGGCCAAAATACCAGCAAGTGTGTGAAAACCTTTTGAAGACTTACAGAAAACGTTTGACCTGTGTCATTGCCAACAAAGGGTATATAACAAAGTATTGAGAAACTTTTGTTATTGACCAAATACTTATTTTCCACCATAATTTGCAAATAAATTCATAAATCCTACAATGTGACTTTCTGGATTTTTTTTCTTCTCATTTTGTCTGTCATAGTTGACGTGTACCTATGATGAAAATTACAGGCCTCTCATCTTTTTAAGTGGGAGAACTTGCACAATTGGTGGCTGACTAAATACTTTTTTCCCCCACTGTATATTAGTCAACAATACACTGCATTTCAAACAGTCAGGAATAATCTAATGAATTCAGGGCTTGTAAAAAGTATACATAGGCTAAATATAAGCCTCCAACCATAAGACCACTAATAATTAAATTATTTTATAAAAATTCGTTTAACCTGCTCTTTTGCCATAGTCTCTGATCTGTCTTTCAAGTCTGTCTATGAAAATGCCCTTTTTGTTACAAATCTAACCAGAACCATGCACAATGCACATCCACTAATAATGACTAACTTCTGGGAGCAGGCATTATAGAAAATTAACACAGGTCTCATAAACAATCTCTCAAGCACAAGCCCACTGCTAGTGAGTAGCCAGATAATCTTTATATTTAAAGTATAGCCAACTTGGATCTATTTGCTTGCTAACAAGGTAGAACAGTTGAACTGTTATGAATACACCCTCCTGTCAGTCTCCAACGGTTTGAACAACATAGCCTGTTGACTTTGTTTACATGTTGAAATCAAGTGGATAAGAAAATGCTTATTTCTCAGAATGAGAACGTGTTGCCAATTCCTTATACAAATACATATTTATATGCTCATTGCACATTTTATAAAACACAGATTAGACAGCTATACTGATTTTAAATATAAACGCAACATGCAACAAGTTCAAAGATGTTACTGAGTTACAGTTCATATAAGGAAATCAGTCAATTGAAATGAATTAATTAGGCCCTAATCTATGGATTTCACATGACTGGGAATACAGATATGCAGTTTTGTCACACAACACAATGCCACAGATGTCTCAAGTTTTGAGGGAGCATGCAATTGGCATGCTGACTGCAGGAATGTCCACCAGAGCTGTTGCCAGATAATTGAATGTTCATTTCTACCATAAGCTGCCTCCAACATCGTTTAAAGAAATGTGTAATCACGCCTGCCCAGGACCTCCACATCTGGCTTCTTCACCTGTGGGATCGTCTGAGGGGGGTTGTGGGGTACTGAGGAGTATTTCTGTCTGTAATAAAGCCCTTTTGTGGAGAAAAGCTCATTCTGATTGGCTGGGCCTGGCTCCCAAGTGGGTTGGCCTATGCCCTCCTAGGCCCACCCATGGCTGCACCCCAGCCCAGTCATGTGAAATCCATAGATTAGGGCCTAATGAATTTATTTCAATTGACTGATTTCCTTTAATGAACTGTAACTCAGTAAAATCTTTGAAATTGTTGCATGTTGCATTTATATTTTTGTTCAGTATAATTTGATGTATATCGCCCAGCCCTACACTGTATTCCCTTTATAGTGCACTACCTTTTACCAGAGCCCTATACCATTTGGGACGCATCCTCTGTGATTATCTATTTGAGCCCACTCTAAGGGGGAAGAATGGAGGAGTACGGTATGATTGTATGTAGCAGTATAATATGTATGGTTGACTTGTCTCCTTATGTCTCTCCCTGTCCTCAGGCCTTTGCCAATGAAAAGGTGTTTGGAGTTCTGAGTGAGACCCTGTACAACCTGCTGCAACTGGTGAGTGTTGCACTTTCAGACTACCACACCAGAGTCCCCCACAAATAATCCTGGTCTTTTCCAAAAAAGAGTGAGAAACGTTAGCCGTGTGTTAAATTATTCTCTCTCCCCTTATCTGCTTCTCTTCTCTCTCTCTGTGGGTCAGGACTGGGAGCAGAGGCAGGAGGAGGACAACCTGCTGATTGAGAGGATTCTGCTGCTGGTCAGGAATGTACTGCATGTCCCCGCTGACCCCTACGAGGAGAAGGTCAGAGTTCACTGTGTCAGGTCGTGCTGTGACCCCGTTCAGTACATTCCCAGGCAGCAGCTCCTGCTGAGTTTTTTTAGCCTTGCTTCATCTGTCCATCTCTCACCGTATTGAACGCTCTCTTTTTCTCACTGTGTCTTGTCTGTTTTCCTACCTTTCACTACTCCCCCTCCTTTCTCTTGCCTCTCTTCTTTCCATCTCTCTCTCTCTCTCTCTCTCTCCATCTACCTATCCCCTTTTTCCTCTCCCTATCCCCTCCCAATCTCCTATCCTTTTCTGCTTCCTCCCTCCTTTCTCCTCTGGTATGGCTGTAGAACGTGGATGATGATGCCAGTGTGCATGACAAGCTGCTGTGGGCCATCCACATGAGTGGTCTGGACGACCTGATCAAGTTCCTGGCCTCTGCACAGAGCGAGCAGCAGTGGAGCATGCATGTGCTGGAGGTCATCTCCCTCATGTTCAGAGACCAGGTGAGACCAGAGAGGGAGACACCTGGGCCCATATCCATAACGTGTCTCAGAGTAGGATTGCTGATCTAGGACTAGGTACCTGTCCGTGTAATCTAATGCATTATGATCTAAAAGGCTGAGAATTCATTAATCAAACATTCCAGCTTCTCCTACACCCAATGTGGCTGCCAATACACAGCCCGCAGAATATTACTTTTAATGAAAGGGTCCGTTCTATTGATTCTGATTCTATGTTCTCCCTCCCTGTAGACGCCGGAGCTCCTGGTGAGTGCGGGTCAGGCTCGTTCAGCTCAGGAGAAACAGAGAGATGCCCAGGAGCTGGAGGCTCTACGACAGAAAGAGCAGGCGGAGAAACGCAGCCGCACCCTCCAGAGAGGAACCAGGTAACCACCGATTTCAGGGCACTTTTTTGTCAGTGAGACATGCTCTTTAGAGGTAGATTAGATACAAACTGACCTCAGAGCAGTTGAAGAGAGTGTGACATGCTGTAGAGCACAGGAGGTTGGTGGCACCTTAATTGGGGAGGACAGGATCGTCGTAATTGCTGGAGCGGAATAGGTGGAATGGAATCAAATACAGCAAACACATGGTTTCCTTGTGTTTGATACCATTCCATTCTCTCCGTTCCAGCCATTATTATGAGCCGTCCTCCCCTCAGCAGCCTCCACTGCTCTAGAGAGATGCCAGGTTAAAAGACATGTGATTTGCAATGCTTTCCTATTGTCTGATGCCTTTCCCTCTCCTTCAGACACTCTCGCTTTGGAGGCTCGTATGTGGTTCAGGGACTCAAGTCCATTGGCGAGAAAGACGTGATCTACCACCGAGGCCTTCACAACGTGAGTGTGAAATCCTGGAGCAGTGCCCTAAAATTGTATTACCACGGAGTTGGCATTTGAAGCAGAAATCCTAGATAAAGGTCAAAGCCATTTTAAGGAATGGAAAAAACAACATTTGCATTGCCAAGCTGAAATGTCAAGTAGTTAAATCTGTCCTTACTCGTTATCCTACCGGTCCCTACTTACATGTCTTTGGTCTTTTTCTCCTAGTTCAAAAACTACACCCACGATGAAGGCAAGGCGGTGAGACGTGTGCCCAAGCGGAAGCTGCGCGCTCGGGACTCGGAGGGCAAACGCCGCTCAGCCCTCAACGTGCGCCTCTTCCTGCGTGAGTTCTGCGTGGACTTCCTGGAGAACTGCTACAACCGCCTCATGTACCTGGTCAAGGTGAGGAGAATGGGTCACAACACTACATGATGGCCCAAAAAATGACTATCACACTGGAGGGGGTGTACTGCCCAAGATAGGGTGTGCGTCGCAATAATCTCTCCTTCCTCCTGAAGTGTCTACTCGTTCATTACTCACATATTTAAAAGCTTTGGATTGGTGTTGGCATGGCCTAGAGCAGTGGTATTCAAAGTTGGGGTCAGTGGGGTCGTCAAGATTTAATGTTGCAATATGTAACTTTTTGTGAGACGTGACCAAATTCGCATAGAAATCTGAGTTATAGATCTGTCATTCTTGTTGCAAGCAAGTTTAAGACATGGTAGATCTGTTTTATGTGCCCTATTTCTATGCTTCCCGTTCGTAATTGTTTTTGCGTCTTACTTTCTTTTTTGTACACAAGCTTCAAACAGCTGAAAATACGATATTTGGGGTTATTGAAAAGACATCGAGGAGTGATTTCTGCATATTGCACCTTTTTTTAAAGAAAAAAAATACAATTTTATTGTGTAAATATATTTATTGGTTTCTTTTAGATGAAAACGTAAAAAATATAGTAATTTACCGATTTTATTTGTTTTTATTTAATAAAATAAAACACTTTTTTTTGGGGGGGGGGGGGGGGGGGGGGGGTCACGAGAAATTATTGGGGGAAAAATTTGGTTCCCGCTTAAAAAGTTTGGATAACACTGGCCTAGAGGGAGTTCCATATACCAGTCTTTTTTTTTTTTTTTTTATCCTTGAAGGGAAGTGAACAAGTGCACACTGTGGAGAAAGGAGAGATTGTTGGTACACAAGGACTCTGTGACTAATTCTGAAAGATTCAAAATAACCATATTTTCCTGGGAGTTGCTGTATAACACTGTGGATCCAGTTCAATCCAAATTGAGTTACTGGGTTTCCTGGCCCAGTCAAAAGCAACATTCTTCCTGCACTGCGAGAAGGCATGTTTGGATGGTGAAATAATGTAATTTTTTTAAACTTCATCCCAGAAACTCAGTTACCACATTTTGACTGAATAAAGCGCTGTCTTGTTGCACAAGATAGAATTATTCACAATTGTGGTTTGAGGCCTGTTTAGCCACAGCGGTCACATTAGACTCTCAATCCTATCTATGCAAACAGATCTGATCTCAGTGCAGTTTGCTACAGCACTCACAGCTGGTCTCTCTGTCTGGTTCCACAGGAGGGACTGATCAGGGAACAGGCGCAGCAGCACGACGAGACCTACTACCTCTGGGCCCTCAGCTTCTTCATGGCCTTTAACCGCGGCAATGGTTTCCGTGCCGACCTGGTCTCCGAGACAATGTCCATCCGTGCCTTCCACTTCATTGAGCGCAACATCACCAACTACTACGAGATGATGCTCACCGACCGCAAGGAGGCCACGTCCTGGTCCCGTAGGTGGGTGTGGCAAACTAGGTTACTATTGTTTTAAGGGAGCCATGTTGGCACTAAAAGTTTGAAGTCTAATTAGAATGTTATCATCATGGACCATTTGGAGCCCACATGGAGGATGGCTTATACATTTCTGTGCATCTCTGGTTTTGAACGTGTAAGAAATAAATTTTTGCGTGTTTCTTTCAGGATGCACCTGGCTCTGAAGGCGTACCAGGAGCTGCTGCTGACGGTGAACGAGATGGACCGCTCCCGAGACGAGAACATCAGACAGAGCGCCAACGTCATCAAGAGTGAGACACTCTTACTCTCTTCTCTCCTCGTCTTGTCGTTTCCTCTTCTCTTCTTTGTTTCCTCTTTCATTATTTTTCTAAACTAAACATCTAAATCCTTTGTCTCCCCTCCAGGTAACATTTTCTACCTGATGGAGTACAGGGAGATCTTCTTGACCCTGCTGAGGAAGTTTGATGAGACCAAGCAGCCGTGCACATTCCTCAGGGACCTGGTGGAGTCCACCCACCTCTTCCTGCGCATGCTGGAGCGCTTCTGCAAGGGACGCAACAACCTGGTGGTGCAGGTCAGCCTCACTCTACTCACAGACAGATAGGGGCCACTAGAGGGGTGAAAAGAATAAGTGCAAGGTGATATTTTGTCAAATAGTGAAGTTGATGAACTTTCTGTTTCTGAAAACAGTGATTATTGTTGACTTGAACATACATCAAATGACAGCCCAGCAGTTTGTTATTTAGAAAATTAATGAACAACAAAGTTACACATGGGTATCTGGCTAAATATCAATTCAGTTCCACTTCATATGATTTATTTATCTTCACCTCCATTATAATAATAATAATAATAATAATATGCCATTTAGCAGACGCTTTTATCCAAAGCGACTCACAGTCATGCGTGCATACATTTTTGTGTATGGGTGGTCCCGGGGATCGAACCCACTACCTTGGCGTTACAAGCGCCGTGCTCTACCAGCAGAGCTACAGAGGACCATTATCCTGTACTGCACCTGTACACAGCCCATCTGAAATTAGCCCACCCAACTACCTCATCCCCATATTGTTATTTATTTTGCTCATTTGCACCCCAGTATCTCTATTTGCACATCATCTCTTGCACATCTATCATTCCAGTGTTAATACTAATTGTAATTATTTTGCACTATAGCCTATTTATTGCCTTACCTCCATAACTTGCTACATTTGCACACACTGTATATATATTTTCTGTTGTATTTTTGACTTTATGTTTTGTTTACCCCATATGTAACTCTGTGTTGTTTTTATCGCACTGCTTTGCTTTATCTTGGCCAGGTCGCAGTTGTAAATGAGAACTTGTTCTCAACTGGCTTACCTGGTTAAATAAAGGTGAAATAAAATAAATAAATACAAAAATCCAACTCTGCTTTCCTCCTCCTGCAGAAGAAGCGTGTGAAGCGTAAGAAGTCTAACCGCCGGAAAAATCCGACTGCAGCAGAGACCACCTCCGAGGCACTGGAGGAGACATGGGGGGCCGTGGCAGAGGAGCTGAGGGCCACCAGCTTTCAGGTCATTGTTGGGGATCAGCCTTAGGGATCAGCCAGGGGACAGTTAACACGTGGAGCAGCTAGCTTGTCTTGTCTACTCACCAGACTCCATTCCATTTACTGAGGCAGATTGTTGCTTGGCGCCTTCATGGCTTCATGTTGTAGCATTACACTGTTAACAGACAGCTAGGGAAGAGTTCATGGGTGCATCTCAGTTGTCTAAAGTGGCTTCCTCTCCTTGTCTCGTTTCCTTCATAATATTCACTGGTCGGAAAGAGCTGGACCGGTGAAAGCAAATTCCAAATGCCATATTGGTTTCCCGTATTGTATGTGTAGAGGAATACTGTTATATCTATTGAGCTGCAGCCCTAGTGTGTTGCTGTCAGTACGTGTACGAGTGCTAAATCTGGGTCTGTGTGGCTGCAGTTGTCGGAGGCTCTGACAGAGAGCGCTGTGCCATTTGACGCTGCATCTGAGACTCCCCTGGAGGAGCAGAGGACTGAGGCCATGGTGCGTGTCCAGGATGCCCTGCTCAACAGACAGGGCCCTGAGGCTCTGGGCCTGCTACGAGCCGCGAGGTCAGTCACACACTCAATCTGACTCTGCTCCCATAGACTTCTTTTGGGAAAGTCGGTTATAGATGCATCTGCCATTGAACACTACTATATATATATTTTTGTTTTATGTACATACGGTAGTGCTTTTCTTAAACTCAAAGTGCCCTACATCCACGTGGGTCCACCAATAGTCAAAACAGCATCTTGCTCTGAGCCCACTTTTTGAGCCATTGACTTAGCAATAACAAAAATGATGGTTGTCATAAATCATAATTCTCTCTCTATATTTCTATTCATAGGGAGGTGTGGCCAGAGGGAGATGTGTTTGGTTCAGCTGATGTGGAGCCAGAGGAGGAACTGGAGCTCCTCAAACAGATCCTCATTGCCAACCTGCCCAGTGAGTGTCTGTCTGTGGTACTGTTGTAGTACTCGAGTCCAGGACTCTGACTCGACTCTGACTCGATTCACAATTTTCATGACTCGTGACTCGACTAGGACTCGGCCAGTGGTGACTCTAATTAAACATACTAGCTACAACAGAAAATGTTATATAGCTGTATTATGTAGTTAGCCTTACAAATGTGCAACAATGTAATAAAATGTACCTTTTAAAAATGGTTGTACTGCAGCTTTTAGCACTACCAAGTGACTCGAGTATAAAGGACTTGGACTCGAGATTTAGTGACTTGACTAAATCACTGGTCTGTGGGACTTTATAAAACATGGAATCAATATGATTTAATCTGACATGTGTACAGTAGCAGATGCATTAATATCTACTAAAATAAAGTAGATTAAGAAACACTGTTTTTGTTTTGTTTTGAGGGCCACCTCCCCCTGAACCTGGGATGGAGGAGGAGGATGGCGAGGAGGAGGAGGAGGAGGAGGAGCTGGAATCTGTACGCGTGTCTGAGACAGAGTTCAACTTCCTGGACTTCATCAAGAGGTGAGGGACACAAATTCAGTGTTTACAGTACACTTGCTCTCAGATTTGCATCACCAGTGTCCTGAATGTGAAGAACTGGAGATTATTTTATTTTTATAAAACAGAACGTTAAAACTATAATAAATAAGCCCCAGACACTCCATTTGCCGTTTGATAACACTGACCGTTTTAACTCTTCACTGTCCAATGTGCCCCGCCTACCAGGTTTGCCAACCCCAACATCGTGCGTCCCTACCTGCTCCTGCTCCGGTCCTACTCCCAGAACACCCCTCACACCAACCACTGCATCACGCGCCTGCTACACCGCCTGGCCGTCGACCTTAAGATGGACGCCCTGCTCTTCCAGCTTTCTGTCTTCTGCCTCTTTAACAAGATCCTAGGAGACCCTGCCGCCGCTGCCTATAAGGTCCTGTTCATTAAATCAAATCAAATCAAATTTTATTGGTCACATGCGCCGAATACAACAGGTGCAGACATTACAGTGAAATGCTTACTTACAGCCCTTAACCAACAGTGCATTTATTTTAAACAAAAAAGTAAGAATAAAACAACAACAAAAAAGTGTTGAGAAAAAAAGAGCAGAAGTAAAATAAAGTGACAGTAGGGAGGCTATATATACAGTAAAATAAAGTGACAGTAGGGAGGCTATATATACAGGGGGGTACCGTTGCATAGTCAATGTGCGGGGGCACCGGCTAGTTGAGGTAGTTGAGGTAATATGTACATGTGGGTAGAGTTAAAGTGACTATGCATAAATACTTAACAGAGTAGCAGCAGCGTAAAAAGGATGGGGTGGGGGGGCAGTGCAAATAGTCCGGGTAGCCATGATTAGCTGTTCAGGAGTCTTATGGCTTGGGGGTAGAAGCTGTTGAGAAGTCTTTTGGACCTAGACTTGGCACTCCGGTACCGCTTGCCGTGCGGTAGCAGAGAGAACAGTCTATGACTAGGGTGGCTGGAGTCTTTGACAATTTTGAGGGCCTTCCTCTGACACCGCCTGGTATAAAGGTCCTGGATGGCAGGGAGCTTTGCCCCAGTGATGTACTGGGCCGTACGCACTACCCTCTGTAGTGCCTTGCGGTCAGAGGCCAAGCAGTTGCCATACCAGGCGGTGATGCAACCAGTCAGGATGCTCTCGATGGTGCAGCTGTAGAATTTTTTGAGGATCTGAGGACCCATGCCAAATCTTTTTAGTCTCCTGAGGGGGAATAGGCTTTGTCGTGCCCTCTTCACGACTGTCTTGGTGTGTTTGGACCATGATAGTTCGTTGGTGATGTGGACACCAAGGAACTTGAAGCTCTCAACCTGTTCCACTACAGCCCCGTCGATGAGAATGGGGGCGTGCTCAGTCCTCTTTTTTTTCCTGTAGTCCACGATCAGCTCCTTTGTCTTGGTCACGTTGAGGGAGAGGTTGTTGTCCTGGCACCACACGGCCAGATCTCTGACCTCCTCCCTATAGGCTGTCTCATCGTTGTCGGTGATCAGGCCTACCACTGTTGTGTCGTCGGCAAACTTAATGATGGTGTTGGAGTCGTGCCTGGCCATGCAGTCATGGGTGAACAGAGAGTACAGGAGGGGACTGAGCACGCACCCCTGAGGGGCCCCCGTGTTGAGGATCAGTGTGGCAGATGTGTTGTTACCTACCCTTACCACCTGGGGGCGGCCCGTCAGGAAGTCCAGGATCCAGTTGCAGAGGGAGGTGTTTAGTCCCAGGATCCTTAGCTTAGTGATGAGCTTAGAGGGCACTATGGTGTTGAATGCTGAGCTGTAGTCAATGAATAGCATTCTCACGTAGGTGTTCCTCTTGTCCAGGTGGGAAAGGGCAGTGTGGAGTGCGATAGAGATTGCATCATCTGTGGATCTGTTGGGGCGGTATGCAAATTGGAGTGGGTCTAGGGTTTCTGGGATTATGCTGTTGATGTGAGCCATGACCAGTCTTTCAAAGCACTTCATGGCTACAGACGTCAGTGCTACGGGTCGGTAGTCATTTAGGCAGGTTATCTTAGAGTTCTTGGGCACGGGGACTATGGTGGTCTGCTTGAAACATGTTGGTATTACAGACTCAGTCAGGGACATGTTGAAAATGTCAGTGAAGACACTTGCCAGTTGGTCAGCACATGCTCGGAGTACACGTCCTGGTAATCCGTCTGGCCCTGCGGCCTTGTGAATGTTGACCTGCTTAAAAGTCTTACTCACATCGGCTACGGAGAGCGTGATCACATAGTCGTCCGGAACAGCTGGTGCTCTCATGCATGCTTCAGTGTTGCTTGCCTCGAAGCGAGCATAGAAGTGGTTTAGCTCGTCTGGTAGGCTTGTGTCACTGGGCAGCTCGCGGCTGTGCTTCCCTTTGTAGTCTGTAATAGTTTTCAAGCCCTGCCACATCCGACGAGCGTCAGAGCCAGTGTAGTATGATTCAATCTTAGACCTGTATTGACTCTTTGCCTGTTTGATGGTTCGTCGGAGGTCATAGCGGGATTTCTTATAAGCGTCCGGGTCCCGTTCCTTGAAAGCGGCAGCTCTACCCTTTAGCTCAGTGCGGATGTTTCCTGTAATCCATGGCTTCTGGTTGGGGTATGTACGTACGGTCACTGTGGGGACGACATCATCGATGCACTTATTGATGAAGCCAGTGACTGATGTGGTGTACTCCTCAATGCTGTCTGAAGAATCCCGGAACATGTTCCAGTCTGTGCTAGCAAAACAGTCCTGTAGCTTAGCATCTGCGTCATCTGACCACTTTTTTTATTAGCCGAATCACTGGTGCTTCCTGCTTCAGTTTTTGCTTATAAGCAGGAATCAGGAGGATAGAGTTATGGTCAGATTTGCCAAATGGAGGGCGAGGGAGAGCTTTGTATGCGTCTCTGTGTGTGGAGTAAAGGTGGTCTAGAGTTTTTTCCCCTCTGGTTGCACATTTAACATGCTGGTAGAAATGAGGTAGAACGGATTTAAGTTTCCCTGCATTAAAGTCCCCGGCTACTAGGAGCGCTGCATCTGGATGAGCGTTTTCCTGTTGATTAATGGCCTTGTACAACTCATTCAGTGCAATCTTAATGCCAGCATTGGTTTGTGGTGGTAAATAGACAGCTATGAAAAATATAGATGAAAACTCTCTTGGTAAATAGTGTGGTCTACAGCTTATCATAAGATACTCTACCTCAGCGAGCAAAACCTCGAGACTTCCTTAGTATTTGATTTTGTGCACTAGCTGTTGTTTACAAATATACACAGACCGCCGCCCCTTGTCTTACCAGAGTCAGACGTTCTGTCCTGCCGATGTAGCGTATAGCCTGCTAGCTGAATGTTGTCATTGTTGTCGTTCAGCCACGACTCCGTGAAACATAAGATATTACAGTTTTTAATGTCCCGTTGGTAGGATAACCGTAATCTTAAATCGTCCATTTTATTCTCAAAAGCTTGAACGTTGGCTAATAGGATTGATGGGAGAGGCAGTTTACTCGTTCGCCGTCGGATCCTTACAAGGCACCCGGATCTGCGTCCACGATATCTCCGTCTCTTCCTCACGCGAATGACGGGGATCTGGGCCTTGTAGGGAACACCATAGCAAAATGTTCAGGTAGTCCCTCCCTGTTTCAATCTGTTTTCTCCCGTTTGGTGCCTAATGAATGAACCTGAACCACCAAGACACCAGGGTAGATGGGTGTCACCCTGGGAGCTCTAGTGTCATCTCACAAGTAAGGGAGGAATGGACTCCTTGTGATGCTGTTTTGAAGTTGATTAATGAACCGATGAACTGTAAAGACAAGTTCATTTGTAAGCAAGCGGACCAGCTGTGAAGACACGTCTTTGTGCTGAATCGTTACCTGAGATACTCACATGTAACTCAAATTATATTCATTGATATCACGTCCGTTTGGATATAAAATCCTGTAACCCAGGTACATGGAATATATTACACTTACATGTTCCAATATCTTTCTCTTCCACCTACAGGAGCTGGTGACCTTTGCTAAGTTTGTGCTGAACCGTTTCTTTGCCCTGGCGGCTAAAAACAACAAGGCCTTTGTAGAGCTGCTCTTCTGGAAGAATGTGGGCGCTGTACGCGAGATGACCGAGGGATACAGCAAGCCTGGAGAAGGGTGTGTGTATGTGCCTGGGTGTCAATTAAATAAGTGTGTGTGTGCTCATATATTAAACGCTTTTTAAGGTTTCCATTTTTAAAAGTAATTTATTGTTCTCATGTTCGTCTCAGAGAGGGTTCCAAGAAGAAAGTAAAATGGACGCCAGAGGAAGAGGATGAGCTGCGAACACTCTACGAGGAGCACCGCGACTCTGAAGGTAAACAGAGGACATCACTCCTCTTCATTTCCTGTCCTTTTATCACCAATCCTTTCATCTAACTGCAGTTTTATGGCGTAACCATCCCATACATATGTTCATGAATGCTTGTCCCATATTGTCTCTGAACTTTTGACTCTTGCTCTAATACAGTGCCAGACATTGTTGAGACTCTGCTGCCGTTGCTTAGCAACACCACCCATACTCGTCGGCAGGTGGTGGCCCAGTTGGTGGCGATGGGACTGGTGGACAGTGTAAAAGACCTGAAGAAACAGAGGTCTGTCTGGGGGGGCTTCATGTCTAGGCTACATCCTGACACCTGAAAGCTTTTACTATAGAGATCCTATTCAATATTAATGTCTGTGAATGTAACATACTGTTTACATGTCAGTGCTAGTTAGAGTATGGAAAGGACAAAGCCTGACCTATAGCCTCTGATCTGACATCCCTGAAGGAAAGGAACTCGTATTGTTCTGTGGACAGAGGAGCAGGAAGAAGAGCTACAGATGCTGTTTGAGGAGTTCAGAGACTCAGATGGTATGTTCTGAAGGTGCCCTTGATTCCCATGCTATAACCATGTTACCGTGGTGATAACGGTTGCAGTATTTTTTGTCTCCGTGGAGATAATGGTTGCAGACCTGTGTTGGAAAGCTTTCAAAGTTTGCTGTTTTGTGACCATTCTATTGATTACAGTTCAATCAAGCCCAGCTAAAGTATTTTGAATTCAGATAGCATTTGAACCCAGTTCTGAGTGGTTGTTACATTTCCGTAGATGTGCTGGGGAACATCCTGAAGAAGGTGACGGCTAAACGTTCCCGTGCCCGCCTGGTGGAGAAGTTGCTCAGCATGGGCCTGGTCTCCGACCGACGGGAACTCCACAAGAAGAGACGCCACAACCCTAACGCTCCAGGGAAGAGCTCCGCAATGGGAATGGTGACGGGAATTTATTTCACCTTTTTTTGTCTCTTATTGTAATACTGGCTGTCCAGTATTATAGAATAGGTTGGCAATCTAGAAATGTCATAAAACTAACACCGCTATTATGACTGAAGAAAGTATTTGTGTGTAATCTGTTAGACTGAAGAAGAGTTCCTGGCTGACCTCACTGGCGGTCTAACAGAAGAGCACATGGATGGAGATGACGAGGAGGAGGAGGAGGAGGAAGAAGAAGAGGAGGAAGAGGAGAGCGAGGGGGAGGAGCGGGAGAGGCAGGCTCCGGCAGCCAGAGGGAGGAAAAGCAGGGTGGCAGAGCGAGAGAGCATGGTTGAGAAGAATGCCAGCCTGAGGACCATGGTGTACACTCTACAGCTGGAAGGTGAGAGCAGAGCATTCATGTTCACAGTACGTTTTCAATACAGACTACCACTTCTGTGTATCTGTATAGTAATATGTTATTTTAATTTTAACATCACACAAGCCAATCAAAGAAGATTTCATATGGGAAAGAAGGCCACATAACAGTTGGTGTTGGTCAACAGTTGATAAATGGTCCCTCAAGCTGTACTTTGTAACAGGTATGTCAGGACCCCTGTTGTGGCTACAGAACTGCCTGAACAGAACGGCAGATGACCGTGAGGAAGAAGGTGAGTGGAAATCCAAAAATGTGATCTAAAAAATATTGGGGAAAACAACGCACTAGTGAGCATTTGTATGTGTTCCTTTATCATTGTGAATTGCTGCGTCTTTGAAGTGTGGTTGAGGACATTTGTGATTTATTGTGGTAGTTAATGTTCTATTTTTGCCATCAGGCTTGTCTCAGCCTGTACCGCTTGTCCCTCTGACGGAGGAGAACGAGGATGCCATGGAGAAAAAGAGCTTTCAAAGGTTACTACGGAAAATTGGGGTCCGAGCACCAGCTAATGAGCAGGTGGGTTTTAGAAGGGAACTCTGTTATTTGTTGTTAATTGTCCTACCCACATGGTAGGAATAAGCCTAAACTTATTTACTTACTAAAGGTGTTAATAATGCAAGATTCAGCTGATATGAGGCACTCAAACTTAGGAAAAGTTGCATTTATAAAAGGCAGTGAAGTGATGCGTTTTTCAATACTTCAACATGCTTTCCCATAGACTACTGTATAGGTAATTTGTTTCCTCTGTGTGTCTGGTGCTCGATTAGGAGTCGTTCTGGAGGATCCCAGCCCAGATGAGACCGTCCCAGCTGAGGGGAGCGGCGGAGGCCCTGAGCCCCAGTCAGGATGCCCCAGCGGCGGGGGCAGAGGAGTCAGAGCGGCCAGCCCCAGGGAGCCCCATCCAGGAGCAGCAGCAGGGGGAGGCAGACTCTCACGAGCAGAGAGCCCAGGCCCTCCGAGCCCTGCTGTTGGCCCGCAAGAGGAAACAGCCCTCTGCCTCAGCAGAACACACAGGTCAGCAGATTAGACATTGGATGCGTCTGAAATGGCACCCTATTCACTATATGGTGCACTACTTTTGACCAGAACCCTATGGGCCCTGGTCCAAAATAGTGCACTATATATTAGCCATTATATCATACTCCGTTTATAACTCTTGTAACTGAGGAACTGTGGAGGTCTCGTAGAATTGATCCAAGGTTGTTGCTTTGTTAACCATAACTTTATTAAGAGGGGAGGTAATATTTCCATCAAACTCTTTATAAATGTCAAAGTTTTATACTGATGCTATTTTATTATATGCCATTTCTGTCTTTCTTTTCACAGATTTCACACCTGTTGAGGATATAGATTCAGACAGTGCACCTCAGAGGTGAGACAGTTCTCTGTTCTGTACATAGTGTATCTATTATGTAATAGCATAGCTCTGCCTGTTCTGTTCTGACTTTTCTCTTCTCCTTTACCATCACAGATCTTCAGAGAAGAAGACCTCCACCAAGAGAAGCCGAGTGGTGTTGGACAGCGATGAGGATGGAGGTACTGTGCTTTTGTCTATTCATAATCTAGTCATGTTAGTTTTACCCACAAACTAGAAATGATAGCCTGGATGCCAGTCTGTTTAGGCAATGGCGGCTGTTTGTTATAAAGAAACGGACTGGCATCCAGGCTAAAAAATGATTAGTACGACATTTCAACATGGGGCTGTTTTGCTAACACTGCCATCTCCTCTCCTGACAGAGGAGGACTCCCTCACTATGGACCTGGGGGCAGACGGGGACGCTGACTCAGACAGGGAGGAGGCTCACTCTGCCCCTGCCAAGCGCAGACGACAGAGGGTCCTGAGTGATGAAGATGATTAGAGGAGAAGTCTTCAGTTGGATTGATTTGATTTATACTGTATAGCGCTTTTCCACTTATGTGCTCAAAGTGCTTTATATAGAAATGGGGAAGCTCACCTCATCCACCAGCAATGTGAGGCATCTATTTGGACCCAATTTGATTGAAGCATCATCATGCACCATGCCTCTACAGGGTTGTGTGCAGACTGAGGATGGGGAAACATGGACCCTCACTTACCAGATATTTCTCAGAGAAGGCGGAATACAAGTCTTCACAGAGAAAAGACCAGAGAGGGAGAGGGCTCCAGGTTTATAGGTAACATGATGTGTTGATGACTCCTCCCCTGTTGCATGGACTGACCAATTTGGAAGAGATTGTAGTCCTGATTGACAATTCACTGTTGACTCATTATAAATATTTTCATGCGTTTGTTTCATCATTGTTGTAAGGAGCGGATGGTAAGGTTATTGTATAATTAATGTGGTTAAAGCAAGACTGGTTGGTTGTGTGGTCTAGTCACTTATTGTATCCACTGTTTTCACATCCCAAAATTTTACTATCCTTATAAGAACACACACTCCATAGTGGGGCGAGTGTATTTATTGTCTTTGTTTTGGCAGTAATGATGTCTTGCAGTATGAGGAAGTGTAGGAGGTTCGTTCAAGGATGTTTTGTGATGCGTTTGTCGTTTATATTATTCAGTCTCTCTTTTTTGAGTATCCTAAAATGTTTTGTATGCATTTCAAAGGACCAGCCTAGCCAATATAGGGATTGTACTGTCAATGCCCAGGTTTTAGAATGTGTTACTTCAAAAACTAGGTTGTTCTTTCCATGGTTGTGTCCCAAATGGCACCCTATTCCATTTATAGTGCACTACTTTTGATCAGGGCCTATAGGGTTTTGGTCAAAAGTAGTGCACTATATAGGAATAGTGACATTTGGGACGCAAACTATATAAACTCAAGATTGTTTCAACTGCAGGTGTTCCGTAATCAGCAGATTACTAGTAAACTTTTATCCAAGTTGGGGAAATAATATATCTGCTCTGTTTAAAAAAAAGCTATTTTCAGAATGTTGTTTCTCATGTTGCATATAGAGTTCAGGGTGAAACCTGCGTATGTTGATTAAAAAATGAAATAGTAATGAAATGTGAGTGAAAAGTTTGTTGTCTGTGGAGTACACTCATCCACTCCTGCTGATTTCACACACCAGCACCGTGCCCTTTTCACCTCTAGGGGGCACATTTAATTGTTTTACTGAATAGAGTCGATTCTCCAAATTTCCTGGTGGATTTTTTCAGGGGCAAAGCAGAAAATATTTCAGTGGATGAAAGAACCAATATTAAAAGTATTTCTCTCCTACTGAATAGATGAGCATTTATGCCTTTTTCTTCATAATCCTTAAACATTTCAAGATCCCTAAGCTTTACATACTATCCCCTTGTTAATTATCTCAAATGAGCAAAATAACTCTTCTGAACTGTAGGCTTAATTTGTCTGTCTCTTTACTGGTTCTACCCATCTACTTACCTATCTCTATTTCCCCAGACCCTGTTGCTGTTAGGAAGGGAGAGGGTGGGTGGGTTCAGAGGGATCCCAGTCTGTTTACAGTCAGGGCCTGCGGTCTCCCACCTTTCCCAGCTGCGGTGGGGGTTGTCCCTCTGGCCCTTACATCTGGAGCATGTTAGCCACTTCCTGTCGCTGGCATCCGGTCAGGCCCCTATCCCACAGATCCAGAGTCGGGATGGGAGAGGCACAGGAGTGGTCCGGGCCTGTACAAACACGACGATTGTGTGTCCTGTTATACATGTTTTGGGGCAATGAGGGATGTAAAGAAACCGTAGAGTAGCATACTAGATGATAGAATGAACTGTTTATTTTGATGTGTTACACTTTAGGGGATGTCTATAGTATTCTCTACAGTATGCAATCTGGTTTCCGCTCAGGATACGGATGTTTCACTGCAACCTTAAAGGTCCTAAATGATTTCACCATTGCCCTTGATTCTAAGCAATGTTGTGCTGCTATTTTTATTGACTTGGCCAAAGCTTTTGATACAGTAGACCATTCCATTCTTGTGGGTCGGCTAAGGAGTATTGGTGTCTCTGAGGGGTCTTTGGCCTGGTTTGCTAACTACCTCTCTCAAAGAGTGCAGTGTGTAAAGTCAGAACATCTGTTGTCTCAACCACTGCCTGTCACCAAGGGAGTACCCCAAGGCTTGAGCCTAGGCCCCACGCTCTTCTGAATTTACATCAACAACATAACTCAGGCAGTAGGAAGCTCTCTCATTCATTTATATGCAGATGATACAGTCTTATACTCAGCTGGCCCCTCCCTGGATTTTGTGTTAAACGCTCTACAACAAAGCTTTCTTGGTGTCCAACAAGCTTTCTCTACCCTTAAACACCTCCAAAACAAAAGTAATGTGGTTCGGTAAGAAGAATGCCCCCCTCCCCACCGGTGTGATTACTACCTCTTAGTGTTTAGAGCTTGAGGTAGTCACCGCATACAAGTACTTGGGAGTATGGCTAGACGGTACACTGTCCTTCTCTCAGCACATATCCAAGCTGCAGGCTAAGGTTAAATCTAGACTTGGTTTCCTCTTATCGTAATCGCTACTCTTTCACCCCAGCTGCCAAACGAACCCTGATTCAGATGACCATCCTACCCATGCTAGATTACGGAGACTTAATTTATAGATTGGAAGGTGAGTGCTCTCGAGCGGCTAGATGTTCGTTACTATTCGGCCATCAGATTTGCCACCAATGCTCCTTATAGGACACATCACTGCACTCTATACTCCTCTGTAAACTGGTCATCTCTGTATACCCGGCGCAAGACCCACTGGTTGCTGCTTATTTATAAAACCCTCTTAGGCCTCACTCCCCTATATCTGAGATACCTGCTGCAATCTTCATCCTCCACATACAGTGAGGGAAAAAAGTATTTGATCCCCTGCTGATTTTGTACGTTTGCCCACTGACAAAGACAAGATCAGTCTATAATTTTAATGGTAGGTTTATTTGAACAGTGAGAGACATAATAACAACAGAAAAATCCAGAAAAACGCATGTCAAAAATGTTATAAATTTATTTGCATTTTAATGAGGGAAATAAGTATTTGACCCCTCTGCAAAACATGACTTAGTACTTGGTGGCAAAACCCTTGTTGGCAATCACAGAGGTCAGACGTTTCTTGTAGTTGGCCACCAGGTTTGCACACATCTCAGGAGGGATTTTGTGCCACTCCTCTTTGCAGATCTTCTCCAAGTCATTAAGGTTTCGAGGCTGACATTTGGCAACTCAAACCTTCAGCTCCCTCCACAGATTTTCTATGGGATTAAGGTCTGGAGACTGGCTAGGCCACTCCAGGACCTTAATATGCTTCTTCTTGAGCCACTCCTTTGTTGCCTTGGCGTGTGTTTTGGGTCATTGTCATGCTGGAATACCCATCCACGACCCATTTTCAATGCCCTGGCTGAGAGAAGGAGGTTCTCACCCAAGATTTGACGGTACATGGGCCCGTCCATCGTCCCTTTGATGCGGTGAAGTTGTCCTGTCCCCTTAGCAGAAAAACACCCCCAAAGCATAATGTTTACACCTCCATGTTTGACGGTGAAGGTGGTGTTCTTGGGGTCATAGGCAGCATTCCTCCTCCTCCAAACACGGCGAGTTGAGTTGATGCCAAAGACCTCGATTTTGGTCTCATCTGACCACAACACTTTCACCCAGTTCTCCTCTGAATCATTCAGATGTTCATTGGCAAACTTCAGACGGCCCTGTATATGTGCTTTCTTGAGCAGGGAGACCTTGCGGGCACTGCAGGATTTCAGTCCTTCACGGCGTAGTGTGTTACCAATTGTTTTCTTGGTGACTATGGTCCCAGCTGCCTTGAGATCATTGACAAGATCCTCCCGTGTAGTTCTGGGCTGATTCCTCACCGTTCTCATGATCATTGCAACTCCACGAGGTGAGATCTTGCATGGAGCCCCAGGCCGAGGGAGATTGACAGTTACTTTGTGTTTCTTCCATTTGCAAATAATCGCACCAACTGTTGTCACCTTCTCACCAAGCTGCTTGGCGATGGTCTTGTAGCCCATTCCAGCCTGGTGTAGGTCTACAATCTTGTCCCTGACATCCTTGGAGAGCTCTTTGGTCTTGGCCATGGTGGAGAGTTTGGAATCTGATTGATTGATTGCTTCTGTGGACAGGTGTCTTTTATACAGGTAACAAGCTGAGATTAGGAGCACTCCCTTTAAGAGTGCGCTCCTAATCTCAGCTCGTTACCTGTATAAAAGACACCTGGGAGCCAGAAATCTTTCTGATTGAGAGGGGGTCAAATACTTATTTCCCTCATTAAAATGCAAATCAATTTATAACATTTTTGACATGCGTCTTTCTGGATTTTTTTGTTGTTATTCTGTCTCTCACTGTTCAAATAAACCTACCATTAAAATTATAGACTGATAATTTCTTTGTCAGTGGGCAAATGTACAAAATCAGCAGGGGATCAAATACTTTTTTCCCTCACTGTACAACACCCATTCTGCCAGTCACATTCAGTTAAAGGTCCCCAAAGCGCACACATTCCTGGGTCGCTCCTCTTTTCAGTTTGCTGCAGCTAGCGACTGGAACGAGCTGCAAAAAACACTCAAACTGGACAGTTTTATCTCCATCTCTACATTCAAAGACTCAATCATGGACACTCTTACGGACAGTTGTAGCTGCTTCGCGTGATGTATTGTTGTCTCTACCTATTTGCCCTTTGCTGTAGTCTGTGCCTAACAATGTTTGTAACATGTTTGTGCTGCTACCATGTTGTGCTGCTACCGTGTTGTTGACGTGTTGCTCCCATGCGGTGTTGTCTTAGGTCTCTCTTTATGTAGTGTTGTGGTGTCTCTCTTCTCGTGATGTGTGTTTTGTCATACATTTATATTTTTAATCCCAGCCCCCCGGTCTTTTGCCTCTTTGCAGGCCGTCATTGTAAATAAAAATGTGTTCTTAATTGACTTGGCTAGTTT